AGTAACCACTTACCATCAGGTGGACTGTGTGCTCATTTGTCACCCTATCCTATAAAAAAAAATCGGTTCAGCCGTTTCGGAGATTAACCGGAACAAACAGACAGACAGACAGACAAAAATTTTAAAAATTGTATTTTAGTTATAAGTACCATATTTACTTTCATATGCATTTAGTAACAAGCTGTAATTTTGACATTACAAACAGACACTTCAATTTTATTTATTTGTATAGCTTACAAGGAAGGCGCTGCTGCCCGTCTGGTTTATTTTCTCTTTGTCACTTCTTAATAAGCCACGGAATGATATAGGGTAGTTAGCTACCTCCGAACACAACATACGGACGGTCGGAAAAAAGAGGAAAATAATTTTCAAATAACATTTAAAAACCTATCGTAAAATATATTCGTATTGCTTAAGACTACTAATTTATTTATCACATTATATAGCCTACTTCTAGCCCCACTAATTATTTTTACAAATTAGAACATGGCAATATTTACATTATAAAAGAACATAAAATGGCGGCACAACTCATCTCTCGCTTGCACATTATTCCCATAGTTAATCAAACACGTCTTTTATGTACAATAAATTAAAATATTGGCAAGGGCTTTACATCGTCATTAATTTGTACTCTTTAAAAGTGTATGTTTATTATATCTAGTCTTTTTTTAACAATATCTTGAACAATACCTTTTGCCACCGCGTATTTGTTCTGATTACTTTACATCGAATTATAAACAGGGGAATATTAAAATCAATTTAAGATAGGTAATACTTAGTGTCGTACTTAATATTTAGTGTCCTAAATCAGATCTTAGAATGTTTAACGGAGTGTTAAACTTAAATAAATCATTAATATACCACTGACCTAAAATACTTCAATCACTACACTGAAAATATGTGTAGCACACTAGATCCTACAAATTTGTGCACACACACACACACACACACACACACACACAAATACGGCAAGGTCCGACGGACAATCGCGCTAATATGCGGCGAGTTATTTGTGTGCGTGTATTTTGCGTAAGACATACAAAGTTGTGGGACCTAGGGTGCTTCGCACATTTTCAGCGTAGCATAATTTACGTCCCTATTTTTTTTTTCGTCCGTGATATATTCGCAATGTGTAGCATTTTTTAACTTTAGTTGCTAACTATTCGTGTGAACAATACAGTTCAATGACATAAAGTTAACCTATGTACTTATATGGTAACCTAGACTATATGGAAGGATTTTTTTAAACAATATTTTATAAAGATTTTTTTTAAATAAAGCTACTAAAACTAAAGTTGGACGTATGCCACTTTTGTAGTGATTTTAAAATTATATTTTCCTTGTAGCTTCACTGTTTATTTTAAAAATAAACTACGGAAAGAAATAGGAAACATGATTAACTTATCATTCAAGGTCAAAATAAGAAAATATTTTTTTTCTATTTCTCCATACTTTAAAAATATCAAATACGTCTCTCACTTAAAATACTTCCTTTTGTACAATCATCTAAAAAAAATTACAAAAAATGATACAAAAATGAAGTATTAAATATCTTGTTGCGCTTTACAATACGTTTTTGAATGTACCCACTGTATGGACCTTTTTAGAGAAATAAAAGTAACAAACCGAAGACACAGACCACCTAATGGCAAGTGAATAATGTGTTTCATAGGCACCTAAATCAATCATCGAATAAGAATCATTGTCACCCCGTGAGGATTAAGATGTAAAGCCTATTTACCAGTAAAATCGGTATCCGGATCTCTTCTACTCTATACGAAACAGAGCAGCATTATTATACTCTGTTAATCTATGAGGGCGTCGACTTACTCCATTCGTGCTGCAACCATAATTTAGCTGGAGCGTGACTCTACCACGGTAAAAACGAAAATCAATTAGAAAATTAACTGAATTTTGAAAATCGTATTTCTGAATGAACATATTCAAAGCTAAAACATATTTACAATTAAACTATTTTGTCAAATTATGTAAGATAATATATAGAAAAAGAGAGTGTATCAGTTTAAACGTTGGTAGATTTTTTATTTTTGTTAAATGCCGCATCCAAAGTCATGCTTTACTTTGTACTGTTATACTCTATAAGGACCACTGAGAACTGAAACAAAAAAAAATCAAATTAAAAATTGACCAAACAAAAACAAAAAGTAACAGGGTGAAAATTCTAATATACTAAAAATTTATGTATAATATAAATACATAATAATATGCATTAAATTATTATCATAATCAATCTACTGCTAGAAGCTGAGGTAATCTATAGCTGAAACAAGGACTTGTAGGCGTTCTCCATAATCAGCAATGATTAGTGTAAATTATCTTTGCCTTCATCTAGTCAAGTTCTATAGTACTTCTAAATACTCAAAAACATAAATAAATCTTACATTTATGATGAAATTTACATTGCCTGTTACGATTATTAATACATTATATGTTTAATAATACAATGGCATCTGATTTCATACCATGCTTTATCAAAGAATGTTTTTCTAAACTTTGTAAAACTTTCTGTTAGATAAGGGAAATTGCATTTAACATCAATGTAATGCGCATACCGACGTTATAAAAGAGACTATCAAGCCCTCTTCTTTCATGTCCCTTAATTTGTCTAAATGGCAGACAAAGCAGTGATAAATATAGAACGAACTATTATGGCTACTATATCTTGCTCTAGACTTTTATTACTTGATAAGTCTATAGCTAGCTTTGCTCCCATACGAGAATGCAATCCGTTGAGAGAACTTTTATGTAGCGATGCTCCAATATTTTTCGCAAATGATGTCTTTATTATGGCTTATATATGGCTCAGTCAGAAGAAAGACAGGGCTTTCCATTATTAGCGCTCGAACTTTGAAATTAAATAAAACAGCCTGTGTATATTGCCACAATTTTTATTTTATTTTAAAGGACATTCGATAAAATTATGTATGGAATATAATTTCAGCCACATGGCCGCCGCAGTAGATGGTGTGTACTGGTGGACCAATTTTGGACGACATCTGTGCATAATGGGGCTCCATTTCATGAAGAACGCAAGTTGTTCGGGCGAGCGAGCCTTCAGGGCGGCAATTATCTGTGGTTTGTCTGCATAGACCAGAGATTTCACGTAGCTCCACAGAAAGTAGTAGAGCGGTGTTAAGTCACACGTTCTCGGTGGCCAGCTAATGTCGCCACCACGCGATATGACGAAGCCCTCAAAATTATCATTGTATAATGTATAAATTCAATGTTTCTCGTGCAATACGGTAAGTGGCGCTGTCTTGTTGGAACCATATTTGTGAGACCCATCCTAGGCCACAAGAAATTTGTTATCATCGTCCGATATCGGTCCCCATTGACAGTGAGCGCGGCTCCTTGTGCATCTTCGAAGAAATAAAGGCCGATGATACCGCCGGACCAAAATCCACACCAAACAGTGACTTCCGAGTGTAGAGCTAGCTGATGAATCCTCTCGTGGATTTTCATCGCTGCAAATCCGGCAATTTTGTTTGTTAACGAAGCCAATCAACCAGAAGTGAGCCTCATCACTAAAGATAATTTTTTTTACCGGAAGCGAGGTCAGCCGCCAACTGCTATAAAGCCCAATCAGCGAGTAAACGGGGTTATTTGTGGTCGTTGGGTTTTAGCTCTTGAGTTAATTGAACTATGTATGTATGGTAACCAAGTCTCGACGCAAAATCCGCCAAGTTGATGTCGCAAAAAGACCCAACTCTTGTGCACGACGCGGAATAGACCGTCTGGGGTTTTCCGACAACAATATTCTCCAACGATCTTGCGTTTCTTTAACGTGTAGGCACCGCTTTGTCGATCACCGACCCGGTGGTCTCAAATGTATTCATTAAACGACGGATTGTGGACTTTGCAAGACGGCCAAGAATGGCATAAATTGGAAGTAACTTTAGGCGAACAGAGCACTAATTTTGATTAAAAAAAAATTAAAAATTTCAACGCGTTGTTGAAGTGTGTAGCGTTCCATGGTGAAATATCAAGACTAAATAAGTATCCTTGTCAAATTTGACAGTTATCGCTGTACCAAAATGGCCGCTATACGCTGTCAAAGTTCGAGCGTCCGAAAACATGTTTATAAGATGTGCATATACTGAAAGAGGTACCAATTTTAAAATTAAGCTTAAGCTAAATTTAATATAAATTACTTTGTAGAAATTAAATAATAGAATCAGGTGTTATTACACGGATTTTTTTTTAAGATGCGACAACCTCCTCTCATTTATGAGAGGGTTTTAGGGTAAGAAATGTCTAGTCTAATAAGGAAACGTCAAATGTCCTCGAAATATTTTTTTCTTATTTCTCAGACATGTAGGTTTTCTCACAATGTTTTCCTTCACCGTCGAACACATGGTAATCAGCACTTAAAATTGCAATTAACAATTTCATTGGTGCCGGCGGGGATCGATCTGGGGTTACTCGCGTACCCAGGGCCGGATTAACCATGTCGGGGCCCTTAGACAATGCAATTCTCGGGGCCCCTTTGCACACAAGAGGAGAGTAAAGCTTTTTAACCTAACGCATCCATATTATTAGTTTTACTAATCGATACTAGATGATTCTGTTCTGAAAGTATGAAGTATTTCATCAACTGACAGCAGGCGTCGCTAAAACCCAGTAATACAGATTGTTATTGAGGATACAAATTTTTCAATTGAATTTTCACTGTATGATACATTTTCCATTACTTTCTTGCGCGCGCAGGGCCCCTAGCCGATGCGGGGCTCCTAGGCAGTTGCCTACTCTGCCTAATGATTAATCCGGCCCTGCGCGTACTGTGAAATTTACAGCGAGCGTTTAGCCCCTGAACTACTACCACGGCTCTTACGACTGTACTTACCAGGAATCAATAACAATAGCAGCTCAGACCACGTTTTTGTCTCCTACCTTCTATTTAACGACACAAGACAATGTGCAAATTTCACACAAGTGACAAAATTTTATAAGTGCATATACATAACGCAATAAGTCACCTGAGCGTCGTGGTCTTCCTGTATGGACGCGCGTTCCTGTACACGTGGCCGCCCTGCGAGACCAGCGTGCCTCGCGAGCTGGCGCAGCTGACGGGACTGCTGGGACTCGCAGGACTCCTGGGACTCCGAGGACTTTTGGGACTGCCATTGGACGGGCTGCTCGCACACGACTCCAAAGAGCCACTGATACGCCGCGTAATTGGACCGCCCCTCAGTGTGGGGGTTGGGGTTCGATCGCCTGCCCGACAAAATACGCGTACAATGTACGACGGCTCGGCTCAAAACAATTATTTGTATAAGTGCTAAGGATATCACGTCCAAACGAAACCTTCGTCGCCATTCGACCATACTCGGCGAGACTATGACATTCACACGAATACAGCAGTTTTTACTTCATTCTCGTTATCGCTGACTCGAGTTGAAAGCAATTTTAAGAATTCCACCTTAGACTTATCATACTTATTTAAGAAAAGCTCAGGACTACGCACAATGACTTAGAAATAAAGATCTCGACCGACTACAACGATTAGTACTATGAGTGCTATACGTGAAAGTCTAGCGTATTAATACACTATCATGGCTGAATACAACGCGTTAAGTGACCCAGTTTCATCTCGGTTAAAAATGTGTGTAGTAGCTCATTTTATGTGTTGTTATTGTTGTTGTGAAAACTATTTACATAGAAATACCTACACGGTGTACATAGTCGCCTCTTACGACATCTACAGGACGAAATAAGGTAATGAATTCACTTACGCCACCATCACACGGCATACAACACACTCATACAATAATGCGTGCTGCCAGTGATGACCTATGGAACTGAGACATGGTCCTTCACTGCTGGCCGGATGAGGAAGCTCAAGGTTGCTTATGGAGATGGTATGCGGGATAAACTTAGAAATGAGGATATATCATTATATAATAATATCCGTAGTAGAACCGGAGTGATTGACATAGCCCAACGGATTAGTAAGCTGAAGTGGCAATGGGCCGGCCATATCGCTCGAAGAACCGACAACCGGTGAGGAAAAAAGGTTCTCGAGTGGCGGCCTCGTACTGGCGGACGAAATGTACGGTATCCCCCACTAGATGAAGTAACGACCTGGTAAGACATGTAGGAAGTCGATGGATGCAGGAGGCTCAGGATCGTGTTTTGTGGCATTCCTTGGGGGAGGCCTATGTTCAGCAGTGGACTTGTGAAGGGCTGTGATGATGATGACAATCTATGATGACAAAAGCTGACCGCGCAGTCGCTACGATCGCTTGTATCAACTGCGCATACGCAACTCTACTGTCTTCCGCGCACACGCGAAAACAGAATAGCGCACATTTTTTGTTTGAAATAGCTTCTCTAGTACGTAGTACTTATAACTCAAAGCCCAATAATAATTAGTAATAATTACCGTCGCCATCAACGCTGCCGATGGGAGTGTGCCTGGTAAGATCGGGACTGCTGCCCCATGGACTGAGCGCACCCAAGGGACTGGAAAGTCCTGCCGTCACTAACGTATCGTCATCATCACCAGAATCTGCAAACAAATCAATATTTATTTGGACACCCACAATATATATTAATAAGGCAACAATGAACTATGAATAATGACAAAAAGAGTAGAGATGGAGTAGATAGTTCGATAAAAAAGTTACAGCCTAATAGACGTTATTTTGCTAAGGCCTGGCTTAGCAGAGGATTTCATTTCTGAGAAAGTTCCCATGTCTGAATTGACCTGCAGGATCCTGACAGACTGAGTAACTTATACTTGGTGTGTTTGAAGTCAGCTGCAGTGTCCACGGTCTACAGTTGCCACTTATTTATTTTTATAGAATAAAGGTGACAGACGAACACACAGTCCACCTGATGGTAAGTGGTTGCTGTGCTCAAAAACAACTACATCTATCTTCGTTTGCGAAGTAAAATGCAGATGCGTCGTCAGCCGTGAGGACTAAGATAGAATGCCTCTTATCCAGTAAAAAGAGTCTCCGGTTCTCTACACTCACCGTACGAAACACAGCAGCATTAAGCTGCTATTTTACGCTGGTATTCTGTGAGAGCATGGTCCTTCCCCGGTCGAGCAGACCCATTCGTGCTACAACTATACTATTAATATAGCTGCCTGCATGGCTCTACCACGTAAGAAATTATTTAAACTGTTAACATTGAAATTAAAATTATTAAAACTGTTAACGCCACTGCCACTTAAATAATATAAAAATAAATGTGTATAGGAGAAAATAAATTCAACGTACCTTCGTAAACGTCAAAGAAGTTTTCTTTTGAGTCATTCTGCGATGATTTTTTCTTTCTTTTGCTCTGAAACGTGATATTAATATTAGCTAAAACATACATATTATATTCATCTAAAAGTAGGAGATATTACAGTAGGTCAAATCCCATATACAAAATATAATTTGTGTCAGGTTTGTTAACAAAACTAGTTTTATTGAAAATCCACTAGATTTACATTGACACATGACATTTAGTAATTTTAGGTTCTACCACACCTTTGTCATTTCCTCCGCTACGGACATCTCCAGCGCATGGTGTGTGCGTGCGAGTGCAGCTAATGCTTCCTCCAAGACCCTGTTTCGCTCTATCTGTGTATAAGTAAATGGGTATTTTTATAGAAATACCTTAAATGTCACTAATATAAGAATAAACAAAAACTTCAATTATATTGTAATTGGTCAGATGTTCCGAAGTCCAAATATTGATATAACTCTTACGTCTCAAGTTAATGAACTATTAACGTATGTATGTGCGTGGTTAATTTTGGACTCGTATATTTCGAGAATAATTTTGAATAAAAAATTTTGTACAACCGACTTCAATAAAAATTATTAAGAATAACTCAAAAACTATTGGTCAGACCTTGATCAAATTAGTACTATTATATAGGACCACATGTGAAGTACCAGCTTTCAAATAAAAAAGAATCATCGAAATCGGTTCACCCAGAAAAAAGTTATGAGATTACAGAACACACATAAAAAAACAGTCGAATTGAGTACCGTCTCCTTTTTAAAGTCGGTAGAAAAAATAATGATATCAACGTTGAACTGGTTTCAATCGATCTATCACTGTCATGTAAATACGCTCTCGCTGCCGACGGGTAGTGGACAATCTATTTTCACCACATTTGCCAACATTGTTTAATATTTTTGTATCCATTTCCATGTTGTAGGTTATTTTCTTTAATATTTTATTATATTATTTTTGTACTTACTTATATCCTGTTTTGTATACTTTTATGGGTGTGATCTGTGTATTTCTTATATTGTCATAAGTGTTGTTATTTTATGAATAATAATTCATTCATTACTGACTATCAAAGTCGACTGTCTGAATATTGTCATTACCACGCTAGGCAGGCGGGTAGTAGGAGGTAGGCATCAAAATTTTAATGTTGTTGTTATCAGTGAGATGCAACTACCCATTTCCTGTTTCATTCAAGTTTCATTCCCCACTGTTACCTCTTACGACACCCACGGGATGATATGAAGTAGTGGATCCTCCAAAAAGCCGCAACTACACTACACTGCGAAAATATATACCTAACCAAATAAAATTTAAAGAAAACAGAAAAGGTTAGGAAATAACTGACCTCTCTAGCTAGTCTGGCTTGGTCGCGATCCCTGGCCTGTGCGACGAGCGCGGCGCAGTGACGTAACGCGGTCAGAGCCTCGGAGCCTGATCCACACGCATGTTGAAATCGCTACGTACAGACAAACATACTCCTTATTTTACTTATAAGCCTTTTGACGTGAATACGTCTTTAATTTTCATTCTCACAGAATACTAGCGTAAAATAGCAACTCAATACAGCTGTGTTTCGCATGGAGAGTTGCTCACCCGTTCTCTACATACCGGAGACCCTTTTTACTGGAAACGAGGTATTCCATCTTAGTTCTCAGGGGTGGCAACGCATATGCCTTAATCAAGGATAGATGTCTAGGGGCCACAGCATCTACTTACCATCAGGTAGACCGTGTGCCGGTTTGTCACCCATATTCTATTTAAAAAAAAATTTTGCGTGTAATTGTGTACACACGTAGGAAGTGAAACTTCCTGACGAATTATTATTTTTCTTTTATTTTATATTTACCTAAGCAGGTTAAATAATAGTAAACTCAAGCAGACCCGGCAGTGAAACGTTACAAGAAAACGTGACGGTTTTTTTTTAATACCGCACTAAATTTCTCTACTACGTCGATAAAGAAGTTTCACTTATAAAATTTACTTCCATAGTCGAAGGCAATTCGGAAAACTTCAAAAAAAAACAGTTTGGTGTTGCTACATAACTGTCAATTGCAACCATAATTTAATCACACCGCTTGATAGCTAACGGATCAAATAATTTGTTACGTTGACTGAGACTGTGAAGCATCACACGGTAGAAAAGTCGTTTCGTCACGTAAAATACACGTCCGTGTCCACGACACAGTCTCACATTTTTTAATTTTATTCCTTTATTTTTAATTTGCTTCTTGACTGTAACAAAATGAAGTTATTGTTGTTTATAAAATTTGTTAGTGGAAATCAAGTGTGTATAATCGAAAACAAGGTTTTACTAACACCCGATTACTTTATTTAAAAAAAACTTTTCGTTAAGCGTTACGACCCATTTCATTACATATGAAGTACCATATAAAAACAGATTTTCAATTGAAAATTATAATAATTTCTCAATCAAAATATGTTTATTGTACTAAAATATTCTATCTGGCTCGTAGGACCAAATATCCAATCACGTAATTTTAATAACAAGATATTTTGATTTAAACATTTTAATTTAAATACGTGTATCAGCTACTGACGACTAAATTTTGTTATAAAAACAGTAATGTCATTCGAAATCAATAGTTGTAGTTAAAAACGAAAGACCGCATAGATATCTCCATCTTTCGACTTGTTGATAAAGAGTTAAGTTCAAATACCTGCTATAAACTAATGGTGTGCATAGCCTAGGTCAACCAAGTCAAGGCTAATATAACATGTTATATAATTTCCATCAAGTTATTTGATAGCATTTGCATGACATTTAAGTTTTAAATGCAAAAATAACCAGACTAAAAACTGGCAACTAAAATTGGCAACTTACGATTAAATTAAAAAAAAACTACTATTAAATCGTCGCATATGTATAATAATCAAAAGACCATAAGGGTAACGAAACGATGGTTAAATATAGAAATGAGGCATATGTGATGGATGGTTATTTCTGCTTCCTCTTACCTATTTCTGTCGATAAACAGAAGTAGAGCCACTACTGGGCTCCAGATTAAACAATTAAACGTAAGTACCGATTTCCAGCGCTATTTCCTACCAAGTAGCGGTACAGCAACATGCCCATGTATAAGTATCTTGTCCCGAACGGTTATAATATCCAAAGAGACAGTAGCCGGGGTGCAGTAGCAAGATTAATACAAATGGGCTTTTGCCCTACCGCGGTCACGATCAGCGGTGTTTTCCTCACCATGTAGGTGGAACGATTCAGTAAGTGTTACCGCGATACCCTGTAGCAAAAGTTCCGCACCATCTAATCATGAACAAAGCAATCAGCAGCGCCAGTTGCTCACCATGTAGGCAGAGTGGTGCAATGAGATGCCCACGTGCGGGCTCTTCTCCGCGAGGCCAGAGCATCCAGCAGCGCCAGTTGCTCACCATGTAGGCACAGTGGGGCAGCGAGGTGCCCACGTGCGGGCTCTTGTCCGCGAGGCCAGAGCATCCAGCAGCGCCAGTTGCTCACCGTGTAGGCACAGTGGGGCAGCGAGGTGCCCACGTGCGGGCTATTGTCCGCGAGGCCAGAGCATCCAGCCACGCCAGTTGCTCACCATGTAGGCAGAGTGGTGCAGCGAGGTGCTCACGTGCGGGCTCTTGTGCGCGAGGCCAGAGGATCCAGCAGCGCCAGTTGCTCTACATGTAGGCAGAGTGTTTTTTTGTATAGGAGAGGGAGCAAACGAGCATGCGGCTCACCTGATGGTAAGTGACTACCGCCGCCCATGAACAACCGCAACACCAGGGGAATTGCAGATGCGTTGCCGGCCTTTTAAAAAGGAGTAGTATCTTTTCTTGAAGGTCCCTAAGTCGTATCGGTCCGGAAAAATCGCTTGTGATAAACTATTCCACAAAGAAGTAGTCCGAGGAAGAAAACATCTTCTAAATCGCACAGTAGTGGACCGCCAAACATCCACATGGTGTGGTTGGTCTCGGGAGTTCTTCCGCGATGTGTGTTCGTGAAATTTGGCGGCTAGGATTAATCCGAACAATTCCTCAGATCACTCTCCGTGGTAAATGCGAAAGAAAATACAAAGAGATGCAACATCTCTTCGCAGCGCAAATGAGTCGAGCCGATCGGAAAGGACTCGGTCGTCGACGATTCTGGATGCGGTCAAGTGGAAGCTGACACTGGGGAGCCCCAGCCCAGAGATGGGAACAGTATTCCATCTGAGGCCGAACCTGCGCATTGTAAAGTTGCAGGCGTTGTGCCGGCATGAAATACTGTCCCGCTCTGCTGAGCACGCCAGGCTTTTCAGAGGCCAATTTGGCCTTCTCTTCCAAGTGACCACGAAACTGCACGTCACTCGATATGTCGACGCCGAGAATTCCGATACTGGGGAGTACCTTGAAACTGAGGAGATACGACAAAGGGGTTCTTTTTAGCGGTAAACGCGCAAACTTATGTCTTCTGAGGATTAAACTGGACTAGATTAAATCGCCCCCAATCCGAGGCTTTGTTCAGCAAAGACTTGACTTCAGACACAAGTTTATTCCGGTACTCAGCGACGTTTTCCCGAGAAATATTGGCACGGCCGGTGTATAGAGCATCACCAGTGCTGTCATCCGCATAGCAATGAATGCTACCGGTTTGCAACATATCATTGATATGCAGAAGAAACAGCGTTGGCTTCTAGTCGGAGCATGCACCGTCTACAACGACCTTGATGCTCCGATCTGCAAGAAAGCTGGTGATCCAATTGCACAATTTCTCGGGAAGCCCATAGGAAGGGAGCTTCGAAAGAAGCGCTTTATGCCAAACCCGATCGAAGGCCTTCGCAATGTCCAAACTAACGGCAAATGCCTTCCCTTGGACTCTACTGCCTCTGCCCATCAATGAGTTAAGTAGACCAGAAGATCACCAGCTGATCGACCCCGACGAAAACCGTATTGGCGATCACTAATCAGCTGGTGATCCTCAAGGTGCCGCATGAGCTGGCAGTTAATTATGGATTCCTTTATTTTGGAGAACAAGGGGGTGATGGCGATAGGCCTGTAATTGGACGGGTCTGAGCGGTCGCCTTTTTGAGGGATCGGGTGGACAAAAGCTGTCTTCAATGATTTCGGGACTACGCCTAGGGTACCGGAAAAGACGTGTTAGAATCGGTGCCAACTCCGGAGCACATGTCCTCAGCACAATTAGGGGGATTCCGTCAGGCCCACTTGACTTGTGTATGTCCCGGGAGAGGAGTGCTCTGCGAACCGAGCGCTGTGAGAACTGCACATCCGGTATGGAGCACTCACACCGCCGCATGGTCGGCGGTGTGTTCCCCCGTCATCAACAGTCGTGTTGGACGCAAAAAGTGAGCCTAAAAGGTCGGCTTTCTCTTTTGCGGCGTGGACGTAGTGATAGCTTACGGAAATTCCCTTGGACAGCCTTGGTGAGAGACCAGAATGCACGGGTTCCCGAAGGAAGGCGAACTAGTTTCTCGCTAAATCTGTATATGTGCTCTGACTTTGCCTTGGCAATAACTCTTTTGAAGGAAGTTATACTTCTTTTTAAGTATGCTGGTGTTTACATCCTGAGTCGCCGAAGCCGCAGCCCAGGCTTGATAACATTCCTGCTTACTGCGTAATGCAGTCTTACAGAAGCGACCAAACCAAGGCTGAGATCTGTCTCCGATAGGCCAGTTGCTCACCATGTAGGCAGAGTGGTGCAGCGAGGTGCCCACGTGCGGGCTCTTGTGCGCGAGGCCAGAGCATCCAGCAGCGCCAGTTGCTCACCATGTAGGCAGAGTGGTGCAACGAGGTGCCCACGTGCGGGCTCTTGTCCGCGAGGCCAGAGCATCCAGCAGCGCCAGTTGCTTACCATGTACGCATAGTGGTGCAGCGAGGTGCCCACGTGCGCGCTCTTGTTCGCGAGGCCAGAGCATCCAGCAGCGCCAGTTGCTCACCATGTAGGCAGAGTGGTGCAGCGAGGTGCCCACGTGCGGGCTCTTGTCCTCGAGGCCAGAGCATCCAGCAGAGCCAGTTGCTCACCATGTAGGCAGAGTGGTGCAGCGAGGTGCCCAAGTGCGGGCTCTTGTGCGCGAGGCCAGAGCATTTAGCAGCGTCAGTTGCTCACCATGTAGGCAGAGTGGTGCAGCGAGGTGCCTACGTGCGGGCTCTTGTCCAGCGCGGCCACGATGGCGGCGCATTCACGTAGCTGTGTGTCCAGCAGCGCAAGGCTGTTGGTCGCCGCCGTCAACGCGTCTTGCATCGAACCTATGAAATTCATCATCAACGTTATCACTGCAACTCTGCGTGAAAGCATTGTACACTTGACTTTAAAAGCTTTTTATAAGTATGGCTAACGAGTTAAAATAAAAAATAAACACCAATTTTCATAAGTACTGTCCTAATGTTGAATCAGAATCTAAATGCTACGAATTTAAAATGATGAAAAAAATTATTGTTGGTAAATCTATATTGGTAATAAAAAATCAATGAATGGTCAACTATTAGATATAAGCCTCTCTCAAAGTAGAGAGGAATCGCCACAATCGCCATACTTGACATGCGCCACTCTTTCCTACGGGGAAATGGAACGATGGATTAAGCCACCACCATATGACACACACTACAATGGAATATGACTATCACTGACCCAGAGGCTTGCACTCGTCGTCCAGTTCCTCGGTGGCCTCTTTGGCAGTGTCAGGTCCAGCGCCGGCCCACAGGTAATGCCCGGAGTACGCGATATGCTCGTTAAACGCAGTGACCCAAGACTGCAAACAATACATACCAAATTTATTTTATCTCTTATGATAAGAATAATTATAATTGTGTTATTATAATAACAAAAATTTTAAAACGTACCACGTATAAAGTGCATCACGTACAAAGTGTAGCACGTACAAAGTGTAGCACGTACAAAGTGTAGCACGTACAAAGTATATGACGTAGCATAGGGCGCGCGGCGCATACCTGCCTGGCAGCGGCGAGGTCCGGGCCGGCGGGCACGGCCAGGCGGTGCGTGTCGCCGTCGCTGAAGGCCAGGCGCAGCAGCGCAGGCTCGGCGGCGGGCGCGCTCAGCTGCGCGCCGTCCAGGTACTTGCGCGCGCGCCCCGCCGCGCCGCGCCCCGCGCCCGCCGCGCCTGCCTCGCCCCGCGACCCGTAGTATATCAGCACGCCGCGCTGCAGCACCGCCTGCATACGATACCACACAATGTTAATACAATTAATTTTATTCAATACCACCTGTTACCCGTGACTTCATCCGCGTAGAACAGCTGTTATGATTGGAAAAAATGAAAACCCATGGAGGTTTTCATTTTTTCTAATACTTTCCTAAAATTACCAATAATACCCCCCCCCCCCCCCCCATCAACATGGTTGCGACATTAAACGGCATTCGCGAGTCTACGGGTGCCTCTATAGGTCCCATAGCGGTAATTTCAAAAGAGACCGACTCATCGACCACGTCCAAATGGCTACAGATTCCTTGCTACAGCAAATTCCATCCGCAGGGATAGTGATCCTCGGCAGTTTTAAGGCCCATCACGCCGTATGGCTCGGTTGACTTTCAACCAATCAATGCGGGGAGATCTGTTCATGAGTTTGTCTTAGCATATAGTTATGTTAGACATAACTGGTTACTTCACCTACGCGGATTCCAGATATGGAGGATCATGCACCTTCCCTGTTGCACCTTCTACCGACCTCTCATCCGGACAGATATCAAGTCTCCGTTGACGCTCCTCTTGGCTCATCGGAACAATGTCTAGTCCGGAGTGTGGTACCACTCACGCTGAAATCGCGGTTGAACTCTGCAGGCTGCCACTGTGTTAAGCACTATCACTATCGGTCGGCCGATTGGGATAGGTGGGTTTGCTTCTCGCCGGACGATCCCAACGTTGTTGCTGATTCTGTCGCTGATATGGTACTTCAGGGTATGGAAGTATTTATTTCTTCCTCTGTAGTGCCTATCGGAGGCAGATCTCAGCCATGATTTAGTTGCTCCTGTAAAATAGCATCACGCTATAAACAGGTGTGCTACGGGGCCTGGGCTGAGGTATCAACGTCACGGGATGTAAACATCAGCGCCCTTAAAAAGAAGTATAATTCCGCCTCCAGGTCCTTCAAAAGCGTCATTGCCAAGGCAAGGTCTGAGCACATCGGCAGAATTGGCGAGAAGCTAGTTCGCCTTCCTTCCCGTGAATTCGATGCAGAACCCGTGCATTCTGGTCTCTCGCCAAGGCTGTCCAAGGGAACTTCTGTCAGCCATCTCTTCCATCTCTACACAGAGAGGACGACTCACTGGCCCATGCCGCAAAGGAGAAAGCCGAACTTTTAAGCTCTATCTTTGCGTCCAACTCGACTCTCGATGGCGGGGGGAACACACCGCCGACCATCCCGCGGGGTGAGTACTCCATGCCCGATATGCGATTCACACAGCGCTCCGTTCGCAAAGCACTCCTCTCCCTGGACATCCGAAAGTCGATTGGGGCTGACGGAATCCCCGCATTTGTGCTGAGGACATGTGCGTCAGAGTTGGCACCGGTTCTAACGTGTTTTTCCGATACTCCTACTCCCTAGGCATAGTCATAGAAGACCGGTTTCATCCACCCGATCCCTAAAAAAGGCGACCGCTCAGATCCGTCAAACTACAGGCCTATCGCCATCACCTCCTTGTTCTGCAAAATAATGGAATCCATTATAAACTGCCAGCTCATGAGGTACCTTGAGGATCACCAGCTGATTAGTGACCGCCAATACGGTTTTCGTCGGGGTCAATGGTGATCTCCTCGTCTACCTGACTCATAGATGGGCGGTGGCAGTAGAGTCCAAGGGGGAGGCATTGGCCGTTAGTTTGGACATTGCGAAGGCCTTCGATCGGGTTTGGCACAAAGCGCTTCTTTCGAAACTCCCTTCCTATGGGCTTCCCGAGAAATTGTGTAATCGGATCACCAGTTCTCTTGCAGATCGGAGCATCAAGGTCGTTGTAGACGGTACACGCTCCGATTACAAGCCTATTAACGCTGGTGTTCCACAATGCTGCGCGGTATCACCAACGCTGTTTCTTCTGCATATCAATGATAAAAAATAAATTTTAGAAAAATGTGCTTTAATTGAGCATTCAATCATAATACTACTTATAAAATACATTAAGATGCTCCGATTTATTGAATAAAATGACAACACATAGAGTAAAAAATCTCCTTAATAATGATTGCCGTGCATATTACCTCTTATCGTAGAATCACCCATATACACCGGCCGTGCTAATATTTCTCGGGAAAACGTCGCCGAATAGCGGTACAAACTTGTGTCTAAAGTCGAGTCTTTGCTGAACAAAGTCTCAGATTGGGCGCGATTAAATCTTGTCCGCAGAAGGCACAAGTTTGCGCGTTTACCGCTAAAAAGAACCTCTTTGTCGTATCTCCTCAGTTTCAAGACATTCCCCTTGTTTCTTCAGCCAGTATCGGAATCCTTGGCGACGACATATCGAGTGACGTGCAGTTTCGGGTTCACTTGGAAGAGAAAGCCAAATTGGCCTCTAAAAAGCTTGGCGTACTCAGCAGAACGGAACAGTATTTCATACCGGTACACCGCTTACAACTTTACAAGGCGCAGGTTCGGCCTCACATGGAATACTGTTCCCACTCTGGGCTGGGGCTCCCCGGTGCCAGCTCCTTCCACTTGACCGCATCCAGCGCAGAGCGGCTCGAATCATCGACGACCGAGTCCTTTATGATCGGCTCGGTTTACTGGCGCTGCGTAGAGATGTTGTATCCCTTTGCATTTTCTTTCGCATCTACCACGGGAGTGCTCTGAGTAATTGTTCGGATTAATCCCAGCCGCCAAATTTCCCGAACGCACAACGCGGCAAAACTCCCGATACTATCCATATCATCTGGATGCTTGGCGGTCCACCACTGTACGTTTCACTTGGATTTTTCTTCCGCGTGCGACCTCTCTGTGGAATAGTTTACCACCGGCGATTTTTCCAGACAGATACGACTTAGGGACCTTCAAAAAAAGAGCTTACTCCTTTCTAAAAGGCCGGCAACGCACCAGCAATTCCTCTGATCTTGCAGTTGTTCATGAGCGGCGGTAGTAACTTATCATCAGGTGAGCCTTATGTTCGTTTGCCCCCTCTGCTATAAAAAAGCTACTTTCATTTTAGAAAAAGTATTAGGGTACCGCGTGAAAATAATTTTAACACATAAAATTATGAAGAAAATCAGTTTCAAATTAGGAAGTATAACAATAAATTACTAAAACGTATTCTATGCAAACGAACTCCTGTAGTTGAATTTTTATTACATAAAAATTAAAAACATGTCGATGATTTAAACTAAATTTATAGATATGTAACCAACCCAAACAGGTCTCCAGCCCAGGAACCTCGATTTCTTGAGCAGCGGCCCCTCAAATCTGGCAGCGGTGCGTTGCAATTTCTGTACCGGCCTCACGCTTAAGACCTCTCGCATATCATTGTCTTTTGCTAAATCTATCGCTAATTGCCCTGAGAAAATATCAAATATTTAGAACATAATTTTACCTTTGGGAGAGTCTTAAGTTAATACACATGTTCCAACCGTAAAGACCAAAAAAGATCGATAGAATAATATACAAAACATTTATCATCAAGTGCTCATTAAGCCGGGTTTATATTTATCTGACGTGTTGTGTCGTGACGGGCTCTGACGTGATGGCTGGCTTTCACATCTGTAATGGATACCATACACGATCCAGTTTATGTAGTTCAGTTTACGTCAAGTATGCAGCGCACTTGAAGCGGCGTCCGAAAAACTTAACAGTGTATGGTTATCAGTGTGCATGACAAGTCTACTTGAAGCAAAATTGAATTTCGATACTGCCGACTTGATCAAGCAGCGTCATGTAAACTTAAACGTGTCCATGAGCGGTCAAGTATGCATGACGGTAGTCGGAGCAAATAAGCGAGGGACGCCATGGTTTCAACTGATGCGCATCATGCAAACTTCACGCCGCTTCTAGCGCGCTGCAAACTTGACGGTAAACTGGATCGTGTATGACATCCATAAGTCGTGTTGTGCCGCCTTCTGACGATATTTTGAGTCAATACAGTCGTAGCTCTCGTCGAGTTCATACGATCCCAATGTTTTTCCCTGAGTCATCCGACTCTGATTCAGATTATGAAGAAGATATTGAATTTTTACTATTTCTATCAGGTCATCCATATTTTAAATTCAAAAAAGTACCTATATTTTATATCGAGACAAAGATAAATGCGGTTTTGACGCGTCACAACACCAAACTGTTGCGTGCACACTAGTCTGATGTGTCATCAGGCGGCCGCTCCCTCGCTTCCCCACCATTACCGCTCTAATGTGATCGGAATTGCTTCTGATGCGTCGCATCTATCACGACGCGCCAATAAAAATCTTACCATACTAATTGTATAAAACCGATACAGTTTTGATGCGTCACAACACACCACGTCAGACAAATGTAAATCCGGCTTTATTTTGCATGGCTCTAGTTTTTCTGTCTGATCGGGCGTTTTTACATTGACTGATACCAACCCGACGCCGACACAATATCGGAATCGGAACAGGATCGTTGAAGTTTAACGCTTTCACACTTACGTCGATGTCGGTAACACCAATGTCGTTGTAGGTGACGATATCGTTGACAGTAACGATAAAGTATCATAGGCCTTTCCCATAGATTGCTTCATAGGGGAAATATTTGCCATAGTTGCCACGTTTGGGAAGCGGGTTGACAACCAGTTTTTTTTATTCAGCCGTTATCAGGATGCTGCTGAATTATATAAAAAATTGATAGCTACCAATTTTGAAACGGGTATTACACATCGCAGGAAAGATTTACCGATATCGTTACGCTTGTTAGGTGGATATCTATCGCAATACCAGATGGCATCACAGATTCCTGGTAGCTTTGACATGGCTCCACATCGATGATCTGATTTAAACTTTGCGTATACTATGTAGCATATTAAATATACGAAATACTATTTCGGCTTTTAGGATATTCACCTTTTACGATAGCCACAGGGCAAAATAGCTCATGCTACCATGCACAAATAATTTGAGTGTATTTAATTTACCAACGAATTTTATAAACTGTTCAACTATTCAATAGAATAGAATAGAATAGAATAGAATATTTTTTATTCAATATACATTACATGTGTAATTCTTATTGAAAGTCATTTTTTACTTTACCACTGGTTCGAAAAAAACCCTCTGTCCTGGGAAGAACCAGGAAGAAAGCCAGCGGGACTTTTTTTTTAAAATAAATTTTACAGTATAAATGATTACGAACTATTTACAAAATTTATTTTAGAAACTGCTTGGAAGCGATCACCTCATTCCCAGGGGTTATTATCAACCATGTATTCATTTATACTATAATAACCCTTTTTATACAGTTTCAGCTTAATAAAACATTTAAACTTGGTAATAGAGAGAACCTGTACACTTTCCGGGACCTTGTTGTAATAGCGTATACATTGCCCCAAGAATGAATTACTGACTCTGTGGAGTCGAGAAACTGGTATCACTAGCTTGTGTTTGTTCCTAGTGTTTACAGAATGTATATCACTTCTTTTACTAAAACTATCTTTGTTTTTGTGAACATACATTAAATTTTCGTAAATATACTGAGAGGCCAAAGTTAATATATTAATTTCTTTAAATTTATCTCTAAGAGACTCTCACGGTTTTAGATTGTAAATAGCTCTAATGGCCCTCTTCTGTAAAACAAAAATAGTTTCTGAATCAGCCGCATTTCCCCATAGCAAAATCCCAAAAGACATTATGCTATGAAAATAACTAAAATAAACTAATCTAGCTGTCTCGACACTAGTGAGACCTCTAATCTTTTTTACAGCATAGGCTGCAGAACTTAGTCTGCTTGCTAATTTGGATATATGGGGGCCCCACTGGAGCTTTGCGTCAAGAGTGATGCCAAGAAAAACAGTGGATACAACAGGGCTCAATTCCTCCCCATTTAAAAACACATTGGTATTCAGATTTTCAACATTCGTTGTTGTAAATTTAACACAATTAGTTTTATTTCCGTTCAAATGCAGATTATTAACGTTAAACCAATGCACTAATTTTGATATAGCATTATTCACTTCGTCACATTTAAATGATTGACGTTTAAGTTTAAAAATCAAGGAAGTATCATCAGCAAATAATACTATATCATGACTATCCCCTACAAGGTGAGGTAAGTCATTAATATACACCAGAAACAGGAATGGGCCGAGAATCGAGCCCTGAGGTACACCCATTAGTACAGGTGACCCGGAAGAACTTTTACCGTTGATAATAACCTTCTGTTTTCTATTACTTAAATATGAAATAATAAGTTTAAGCGCTGTGTTCTTGACACCATAGTACTGTAGCTTCCTGATTAATGTCTCATGGTGAACACAGTCGAAGGCCTTGGAAAGGTCACAAAATATACCCAAAGCATCCTCTGAATTCTCCCATGCACAAAAAATATGTTTAATAAGCTCAACTCCAGCGTCAGTTGTCGAGCGACCCCTTGTAAAACCGAATTGATGTATGTATGTAGCAATTTATTAATATTAAAGAAACTTAACATCTGATCTAAAATAATTTTTTCAAAAATTTTACTTAATGTTGGTAGTACAGAAATTGGTCTAAAATTGGCGGGGTCTAATGTACTACCAGATTTAAATATAGGTATGACTTTACTATGTTTCATTAAATCAGGAAACACACCAGATTCGACGCTTATATTAAATATAGTGGCTAGATAAGGTGCTAATGTATCTATTATAGATAAAATAACTTTAACGGAAATCCCCCATAAGTCTGCCGTTTTCTTAACATCAATAGTTTTAAAATATTTAACGATATCTTTTGGCAGTACCCTATGGAATTTAAAAGTATTTGAACAAGCCTTTACATTTTGTTTGAGCAATGATTCGGCGACAGTAGGAGAAGAATTTAATGATTTTGTTGTCAAAAAAGGATCATCAGTAAAATGTTTCTCAAAAGCCATAGCAACTTCTTGATCAGATCGCGTTAAATTATTGTTAATATTCAATTGAAAATCCGAGTTGCGCGGTTTGACCTTGCCCGTTTCACTATTTATTATTCTCCAGGTCATTTTAATTTTGTCGGATGCAGTTTTAATTTTGTTGCTTAAATGTAAAGCCTTAGCAGTGGAGCACACTTTTTTAAATATTTTAGAATATGTTTTTACATAATCTCTAAATATAACACTACTATTATATGATCTTTCATCATAAAGCTCGTATAACCTTCGCCTACTTTTATAAATTCCTACTGTCGCCCATTCATTAAATGATTTGCGACTGTTAAAAGAGAAAGTTTTAGAAGTAAATATTCTACTAAATTCACAACGTATAATTTCAAATAATGTAGCATACAAATAATTAGCACTATTTTTAAACGAAAGTAATGGAAGTATTTTTATTATATTACTTCTAAACCTCTCCAAGCGATGTTCATTTATTGGAACAAACACAACTTTCTTATTTTTCTGTTTTTTGTGTATGTAAGTTAGTGATACTAACTGTCCACAGTGATCTGAACTTAAATTTTGAATAATTGATTTATGCAAGGGCTTAACATCTGTAAAAATGTTATCTATACAGGTCGCACTAGGCCCAGCAATACGTGTTGGTTCTAAGAATAAATTTACAAGATTATACGATTTAAACAATGAGCTAAACTTAATACTAATGGAAGAAGTTTCAAGGAGATTGATATTAAAGTCTCCACACATTACAACAGACTTGTTCTGTTTACTAAGTTTGAGTAAAACTTCTTCCACAATCCTTTCAAAATGGTCATAAGTAGCACATGGGGGTCTGTAAACACTTACAACAATGAGGTGCTCGAGCTCGACACAAGCCATTTCTACAGTTCGTTCAACAGAGAGGCTCACAATATCCTTACGTTCTTTATATAATAATGATTTATCTGCTAATATTAAGGAGCCACCACGTAAACTTTTTTCTCTATTGAAGGAACTGACCACCTGGTGATTTCTGAAATTAAACATGAAATTATAATCTTTTAGCCAATGTTCAGTAATACAAAGGATGTGTATATTGTTACTATTTAAAAACAATTCAACTTCCAATTCTTTGCCCAACATGCCTTGTATATTTTGATGCACCAGGTGTAAACAATTTTTATTACTTATTTGTGGGCTGTATTCAAAATTAATTAAACTCTTATTATTGCTAGAGATTGCCTCTATTGTCACATTCACTAATTTAAATTAGTTGGAACTGATTCCAAATTAAATGTCAAATGATTATGCTCAATAAAAGCAGTCTTGGTAGCCAAAAACTTGGCTGAGTTAAAAAGTAAATAATAAGATAGCACATTTGCTATCAGTCTTAAATTATATTTGGATAGGTAATACCTATCTTTTGTCCAAAACTTTTTTATTAAATTATTTATGTCAATTACATGAAATTTATGATTATTATCATTAGAATTATATGTCAAATTTAAATTATTATTACATATTAAATTATGCATTTGTATATTTAAATTATGTCTTAAATTATTTTCTTGTGGCAATCCCTGTATATAAGGCAGTGTGAACAAGACAATTTTGTGTACATTTAAGTTATTAAGTTGTTCAATATATCTTAATAACTGTTTGTTGTTGACACTGCCTCTTCTACCAACAAAAATTATTATTGTACTATTTGGGCAAAATTTAGTAACAATAATTTTATTTAGGATGTCACTAAAAGATGCTCCAGGCATGCAGCAATTTGTAACTTTTTGTCCCTTTAAAGAGTTATTTAAAGTTATGCCTAGATTTTTTCCCATGTCATCGCTATAAACAATTATATTATTTTTAGTAATATTTGAGTTATTTATTATTTTAATATCCTCTGCTATGGCACTGTCATAGAGTTTTTGTGGTGGTATAATATTATCAGCACACACTGACTTTGAAGAATCTGGCATTGAGCGCTGACACTCACATTGATATTTAACTAAGGAGTCAAACCGCTCCTCATTATATTTACAAGTCTTTACCAGATTATCCATAGCCAATATGTGTTCTTTTATTTCATTTTGGGCTGATTTATATTTATTGGACACAGTTTGAAGGGAGTTCATAAGTGACAATATTTCTGATTTAAGGCACTCTATTTCAGTCTCATAACATTTTTTTATGCTATCCACCTCAATTGAATACAACTAAAGTTCATATAACAATGCTTGCTTTTCTTTACATACATTAACATAATTTTTGGTATTAATCTTATTTCTTATTAATTTTTGTACTTTCCTTATGTATTTATTAACTTTTATATACTTCTTCAATTTGGTTTTACTGCAATTAATCCTTACTGTATTTCCTGAAGTGGAAGAGTCGTCACCAGTCAAGTCTATTGTTGCAGATTGCTGTAACATTCTTGAAGTATCACATTGCACAAGCTCAGAGAACAGGCTTTGAGTCTGGGAGGCTTTAAGGTTATCTATATATGTTTTAAATTGTGTTATTTGCTCATTAGCCTCATTCAACTGTAACTTCAATGCAGCAATTAACCTGAGAGCTTCCTCATATTCCTTGCTGCATTGATCAAACTCATTAACCGTTCCCTGTAGCTGATCTCTTTCTTTTATAACACTTGTGTATTCTGTATGTAGCTTAACCATATCACATTTCAATTGTGTATTTTTGGCAATTATGCTAACTATTTCCCTTTCATTATCATCCCTTTCCTTAAGCAACAGTTCACACTGCTCCCTGGACGCCTTAAGTTCTTGGAGCGCAAGCTGAAGTTGGTTCTCCATCTGGCGCGTCTTGGCGTTGCGAGTATTCATTTTACTATTTATTATAAATAATAAAAGAAAACAAAGATCGAAAACAGAAGGAGCAGAGTAAGCTAATGTAAAGTTGTTGTTTTTTTTTTTCTATTTACAAGTCTCAAATCAAATTATCGTTAAAACAATTCGAAAAGAAACCCGCAAAGAATGTAATAACCCGAGAATAAATCTTTAATTTATAAAAGGAATGATATGAAATAAGGATTACAATAATTTTTAAAACAATGTTCGTTACCTGTCACTTTTTGTTACAACACCAAATTGTTGTTATAATATTTATGTACCAACTTTCTTAAACATTAAATACAAAGCGGCAGTAATTATTAGCTATAACATAAAATTGAGGTGGATATGGTGAATTTACAATATTTAAATTATTAAAATTTATCGGGACCAATTACTTTTACAACTTATAACCAGGGTTGCCACAGCAAAAAAAAAGGGCATGTATAAGAGTTAAACCGTACTATCACTTGTTTATCTGTTTTGTTAATAACTTGGTAAAAAACAGTGTTGCCATTACTACGGCAATTGCCGAGTACTACGGTAATGAAATCCACGACTTTTTCTGCCACAAGGACGGCGCCACTTTCGAATGAGGTGAATTATTTGATAGATTTCATAGGGGGAAGTGAATTTGTTAGAAAAATATTATATTTCTTAGATTAGAAACGTATAAACAAAACTACAGATTTTCGTAAAAGATTTTTTTTACATAATGAGGGCTAGTAATTTTCTGCTCACTAGATGTCGCTAGCTGACAGTGAGGTAGAGTTTTTTGTTACACATTGTAAATTAATTTTCTTTACGTGGTAGAGCCATGCTGCAGCTATATTAGTAGTATAGTTGTAGCACGAATGTGTCGGCTCGACCGGGAAAGGACCACGCTCTTACAGAATAACAGCGTAAAATAGCATCTTAACACTGCTGTTTCGTATGGTGAGTGTAGAGAACCGGAGACCCTTTTTACTGGAAAAGAGGCATTTCATCTTAGTCCTCACGGGTGACAACGCATCTGCATTTTGATTCGCAAACGAGGATAAATGTAGATGGCTATGGGCCACAGCAACCACTTACCATCAGGTGGACTGTGTGCTCGTTTGTCACCCTATCCTATAAAATAAATTCTTCTTAAAATCTGGCCCCAAGAATGTACGGAGAAGTCTCCTTCTCCTTTTGCTTACTAAACAAGGCAACGGAAAACTTGGCTTTGGAAACACCGGTGCAACATACCACTATGGTTTTTTAGTGCGGTGTCAATCCCATTCTGCAGCAGTAGAACCGCGACTCGAGCATGGCCTCTGTAGGCTGCACAGTGCAGACACGTGTTGCCTTGGGAATCCACGCAGTTTATATTTGGAGGATTTGAACTGCTAAGCTGCAATAAGGATTATAATAAATTTAAATGTACCATTAGGGTGTGAGGTTTCCTGAAAACCTGCTAACAAACGAAAGATCACAACCTTCTTCTTTAATTTAAGCTTGTTTAAAGCTCATATGAACGTCAAAATTTACAACGGTTCGGGAAACAATACCTTTTGAGAGAAAAATCAAGAAAGAAACTATTTAATTTTTAATAAAATTAAGTGACAAGCGAATATGAAGTCCAGCTGATGGTAAGTGGCTACTGCATAGCCCGTGGACACCTGTAACCAACTTCAAACAAAGAAGGCTAGAAATTACGTTACGATCTCTTATGCAGAAAAGTAACCCTACCACTTAGTAAGTTATACTTGTACTGGGAGTCTATTTCTGGCGCCAAAGAGCAGTGCATGCCTACCATACCCAAATATTCTCTTATGTAGAAAAGTAACCCTACCACCTAGTAAGCTATACTAGTACTGGGGGTAAGTAATCCTACCACCTAGTAAGCTATACTAGTACAGGGGGTCTATTTCTGGCGCCAAAGAACAGTGCATGCTTACCATACCCAAACGTTCTCTTATGTAGAAAAGTAATCCTGCCACCTAGTAAGCTATACTAGTACTGGGGGTCTATTTCTGGCGCCAAAAAACAGTGCATGCTTACCATACCCAACTGATATCTTATGCAGAAAAGTAACCCTAGCACCTAGTAAGCTATACTAGTACTGGGGGTCTATTTCTGGCGCCAAAGAACAGTGCATGCTTACCATAGCCAACTGATATCTTATGCAGAAAAGTAACCCTACCACCTAGTAAGCTATACTAGTACTGGGGGTCTATTTCTGGTGCCAAAGAACAGTGCATGCTTACCATAGCCAACTGATATCTTATGCAAAAAAGTAACCCTACCACCTAGTAAGCTATACTAGTAGTGGGGGTCTATTTCTGGCGCCAAAGAACAGTGCATGCTTACCATACCCAACTGATATCTTATGCAGAAAAGTAATCTTACCACCTAGTAAGCTATACTAGTACTGGGGGTCTATTTCTGGCGCCAAAGAACAGTGCATGCTTACCACACCCAATTGATGTCTCATGCAGAATAGTAATCCTACCACCTAGTATGCCATACTCGTACTGGGGGTCTATTTCTGGCACCAAAGAGCACTGCATGCCTACCATACCCAAACATTCTCCTATGTAGAAAAGTAATCCTACCACCTAGTAAGCTATACTAGTACTGGGGGTCTATTTCTGGCGCCAAAGAACAGTGCATGCTTACCATACCCAACTGATATCTTATGCAGAAAAGTAACCCTACCACCTAGTAAGCTATACTAGTACTGGGGGTCTATTTCTGGCGCCAAAGAACAGTGCATGCTTACCAAATCCAACTGATATCTTATGCAGAAAAGTAACCCTACCACCTAGTAAGCTATACTAGTATTGGGGGTCTATTTCTGGCGCCAAAGAACAGTGCATGCTTACCATACCCAACTGATATCTTATGCAGAAAAGTAACCCTACCACCTAGTAAGCTATACTAGTACTGGGGGTCTATTTCTGGCGCCAAAGAACAGTGCATGCTTACCAAATCCAACTGATATCTTATGCAGAAAAGTAACCCTACCACCTAGTAAGCTATACTAGTAATGAGGGTCTATTTCTGGCGCCAAAGAGCAGTGCATGCCTACCATACCCAATCATTATCTTATGTAGAAAAGTAATCTTACCACCTAGTAAGCTATACTAGTACTGGGGGTCTATTTCTGGCGCCAAAGAACAGTGCATGCTTACCACACCCAACTGATGTCTCATGCAGAATAGTAATCCTACCACCTAGTAAGCTATACTAGTACTGGGGGTCTATTTCTGACACCAAAGAGCACTGCATGCCTACCATACCCAAACATTCTCCTATGTAGAAAAGTAATCCTACCACCTAGTCAGTTATACTAGTACTGGGGGTCTATTTCTGGCGCCAAAGAACAGTGCATGCTTACCACACCCAACTGATGTCTCATGCAGAATAGTAATCCTACCACCTAGTAAGCTATACTAGTACTGGGGGTCTATTTCTGGCGCCAAAGAACAGTGCATGCTTACCAAATCCAACTCATATCTTATGCAGAAAAGTAACCCTACCACCTAGTATGCCATACTCGTACTGGGGGTCTATTTCTGGCACCAAAGAGCACTGCATGCCTACCATGCCCAAACATTCTCCTATGTAGAAAAGTAATCCTACCACCTAGTAAGCTATACTAGTACTGGGGGTCTATTTCTGGCGCCAAAGAACAGTGCATGCTTACCATACCCAACTGATATCTTATGCAGAAAAGTAACCCTACCACCTAGTAAGCTATACTAGTACTGGGGGTCTATTTCTGGCGCCAAAGAACAGTGCATGCTTACCAAATCCAATTGATATCTTATGCAGAAAAGTAACCCTACCACCTAGTAAGCTATACTAGTAATGGTGGTCTATTTCTGGCGCCAAAGAGCACTGCATGCCTACCATACCCAATCATTATCTTATGTAGAAAAGTAATCTTACCACCTAGTAAGCTATACTAGTACTGGGGGTCTATTTCTGGCGCCAAAGAACAGTGCATGCTTACCACACCCAACTGATGTCTCATGCAGAATAGTAATCCTACCACTTAGTATGCCATACTCGTACTAGGGGTCTATTTCTGGCACCAAAGAGCACTGCATGCCTACCATACCCAAACATTCTCCTATGTAGAAAAGTAATCCTACCACCTAGTCAGTTATACTAGTACTGGGGGTCTATTTCTGGCGCCAAAGAGCAGTGCTTGCTTACCATACCCAAACGTTCTCTTATGTAGAAAAGTAATCCTACCACCTAGTAAGCTAAACTAGTACTGGGGGTCTATTTCTGGCGCCAAAGAGCAGTGCATGTCTACAATACCCAAACGTTCTCTTATGCAGAAAAGTAATTCTACCACCTAGTCAGTTATACTAGTACTGGGGGTCTATTTCTGGCGCCAAAGAGCAGTTCATGCCTACCATACCCAAACGTTTTATTATGTAGAAAAGTAATCCTACCACCTAGTAAGCCATACTAGTACTGGGGTCTATTTCTGGCGCCAAAGAGCAGTGCATGCTTACCATACCCAACCGATATCTTATGTAGAAAAGTAATCCTACCACCTAGTAAGCCCTACTAATACTGGGGGTCTATTTCTGGCGCCAAATAACAGTGCATGCTTACCATACCCAAACATTCTCTTATGTAGAAAAGTAACCCTACCACCTAGTAAGCTATACTAGTACTGGGGGTCTATTTCTGGCGCCAAAGAACAGTGCATGCTTACCATACCCAAACGTTCTCTTATGTAGAAAAGTAATCCTACCACCTAGTCAGTTATACTAGTACTGGGGGTCTATTTCTGGCGCCAAAGAGCAGTGCATGCTTACCATACCCAAACGTTCTCTTACGTAGAAAAGTAATCCTACCACCTAGTAAGCTAAACTAGTACTGGGGGTCTATTTCTGGCTCCAAAGAGCAGTGCATGCTTACCATACCCAAACGTTCTCTTATGTAGAAAAGTAATTCTACCACCTAGTCAGTTATACTAGTACTGGGGGTCTATTTCTGGCGCCAAAGAGCAGTGCATGCTTACCATACCCAAACGTTCTCTTATGTAGAAAAGTAATTCTACCACCTAGTCAGTTATACTAGTACTGGGGGTCTATTTCTGGCGCCAAAGAACAGTGCATACTTACCAAATCCAACTCATATCTTATGCAGAAAAATAACCCTACCACCTAGTATGCCATACTCGTACTGGGGGTCTATTTCTGGCACCAAAGAGCAGTGCATGCTTACCATACCCAAACGTTTTCTTATGTAGAAAAGTAATCCTACCACCTAGTAAGCTAAACTAGTACTGGGGGTCTATTTCTGGCGCCAAAGAGCAGTGCATGTCTACAATATCCAAACGTTCTCTTATGTAGAAAAGTAATTCTACCACCTAGTCAGTTATACTAGTACTGGGGGTCTATTTCTGGCGCCAAAGAGCAGTTCATGCCTACCATACCCAAACGTTCTCTTAAGTAGAAAAGTAATCCTACCACCTAGTAAGCCATACTAGTACTGGGGTCTAGTTCTGGCGCCAAAGAGCAGTGCATGCTTACCATACCCAACCGATATCTTATGTAGAAAAGTAATCCTACCACCTAGTAAGCCATACTAATACTGGGGGTCTATTTCTGGTGCCAAATAACAGTGCATGCTTACCATACCCAAACATTCTCTTATGTAGAAAAGTAACCCTACCACCTAGTAAGCTATACTAGTACTGGGGGTCTATTTCTGGCGCCAAAGAACAGTGCATGCTTACCATACCCAAACGTTCTCTTATGTAGAAAAGTAATCCTACCACCTAGTAAGCCATACTAGTACTGGGGTCTATTTCTGGCGCCAAAGAGCAGTGCATGCTTACCATACCCAAACGTTCTCTTATGTAGAAAAGTAATCCTACCACCTAGTAAGCTAAACTAGTACTGGGGGTCTATTTCTGGCGCCAAAGAGCAGTGTATGTCTACAATACCCAAACGTTCTCTTATGTAGAAAAGTAATTCTACCACCTCGTCAGTTATACTAGTACTGGGGGTCTATTTCTGGCGCCAAAGAGCAGTGCATGCTTACCATACCCAAACGTTCTCTTATGTAGAAAAGTAATCCTACCACCTAGTCAGTTATACTAGTACTGGGGGTCTATTTCTGGCGCCAAAGAGCAGTGCATGTCTACAATACCCAAACGTTCTCTTATGTAGAAAAGTAATTCTACCACCTAGTCAGTTATACTAGTACTGGGGGTCTATTTCTAGCGCCAAAGAGCAGTGCATGCTTACCATACCCAAACGTTCTCTTATGTAGAAAAGTAATCCTACCACCTAGTCAGTTATACTAGTACTGGGGGTCTATTTCTGGCGCCAAAGAGCAGTTCATGCCTACCATACCCAAACGTTCTCTTAAGTAGAAAAGTAATCCTACCACCTAGTAAGCCATACTAGTACTGGGGTCTAGTTCTGGCGCCAAAGAGCAGTGCATGCTTACCATACCCAACCGATATCTTATGTAGAAAAGTAATCCTACCACCTAGTAAGCCATACTAATACTGGGGGTCTATTTCTGGTGCCAAATAACAGTGCATGCTTACCATACCCAAACATTCTCTTATGTAGAAAAGTAACCCTACCACCTAGTAAGCTATACTAGTACTGGGGGTCTATTTCTGGCGCCAAAGAACAGTGCATGCTTACCATACCCAAACGTTCTCTTATGTAGAAAAGTAATCCTACCACCTAGGCAGTTATACTAGTACTGGGGGTCTATTTCTGGCGCCAAAGAGCAGTGCATGCTTACCATACCCAAACGTTCTCTTATGTAGAAAAGTAATCCTACCACCTAGTAAGCTAAACTAGTACTGGGGGTCTATTTCTGGCGCCAAAGAGCAGTGTATGTCTACAATACCCAAACGTTCTCTTATGTAGAAAAGTAATTCTACCACCTCGTCAGTTATACTAGTACTGGGGGTCTATTTCTGGCGCCAAAGAGCAGTGCATGCTTACCATACCCAAACGTTCTCTTATGTAGAAAAGTAATCCTACCACCTAGTCAGTTATACTAGTACTGGGGGTCTATTTCTGGCGCCAAAGAGCAGTGCATGTCTACAATACCCAAACGTTCTCTTATGTAGAAAAGTAATTCTACCACCTAGTCAGTTATACTAGTACTGGGGGTCTATTTCTAGCGCCAAAGAGCAGTGCATGCTTACCATACCCAAACGTTCTCTTATGTAGAAAAGTAATCCTACCACCTAGTCAGTTATACTAGTACTGGGGGTCTATTTCTGGCGCCAAAGAGCAGTGCATGTCTACAATACCCAAACGTTCTCTTATGTAGAAAAGTAATTCTACCACCTAGTCAGTTATACTAGTACTGGGGATCTATCTCTGGCGCCAAAGAGCAGTTCATGCCTACCATACCCAAACGTTCTATGTAGAAAAGTAATCCTACCACCTAGTAAGCCATACTAGTACTGGGGTCTAGTTCTGGCGCCAAAGAGCAGTGCATGCTTACCATACCCAACCGATATCTTATGTAGAAAAGTAATCCTACCACCTAGTAAGCCATACTAGTACTGGGGGTCTATTTCTGGCGCCAAAGAGCAGTTCATGCCTACCATACCCAAACGTTCTCTTACGTAGAAAAGTAATCCTACCACCTAGTAAGCCATACTAGTACTGGGGTCTAGTTCTGGCGCCAAAGAGCAGTGCATGCTTACCATACCCAACTGATCTCTTATGCAGAAAAGTAATTTTACCACCTAGTAAGCTATACTAGTACTGTGGTTCTATATTTAATTTTTTAAAACCATGTTACAATTTAATTTATTACAACTTATAAAATTTTACAACAATAAAATTAATACAACGTTAAATGTCTATTAATATTTTTTATAATGTTTTAATTTTAACAATATGTCCATAGTCTTGCCAAGAAACTGGCAAGTGCAGAGTAAGAGCCATTTTCATAAATGCTTTTTTTTACAAAATGTACATTTATTCAAAAATGCTTACAAGAAATCCCTAAGACTGGACCGTGAGCAAATATTTCAAGTCATACATGCCATTTTGCAAATTCTTGAAAGACTTTTCGTATAGGAAACGGTTAATAAAGTATAAGAAATAGAATAGAGATATCCCCAACTTACCAGCGCCTGTATCTCATCAATGTGACCTTCTTTGGCGGCGCTAAGCAGCCTCCGCTCTCTGTCAAGTCTCTCGGCCCTTTGTGCTGCTTCCAACAGTCTTTGTACGTCTCGTGTCTTGCACACGTCACATGCTGTCCGACCCTCGCCGTTCATTATATTCACGTCCGCTTTGTAATTCAATAAGAGGATCACTAGTTCCTAAGGGAATAGAGAACAATTATTAATCAATTTCGTATTGAAGGTCATCCAGCAGACCTTGTGATGTTTTTAATGATTTAAAAGTCGTGTAATCAGGCCTATGTCACTCTTGCTACCTGTGTGAAATAATTACCTGCAAGCGCGAGGCGCCCCGGGCATACATACGCAGCCGGGGCTAGCGCTTTCTAAGCGATTGAATATTAAAGTTTTTAACGCGGTTTACGTAAATAGCGTTTTGCAAATAATTGTTGAAAAAGTTTTTTTAGTGTTTAGTATATTTAATTGTAGAATAAATAGTTGAATAAGTTTTAATGTAATTTAAAAATAATCAATATGTATATTACTTATCTGTTTGATAAATAATAATGGCAAAACCTCGTTCCTATTATAATTGTTGAGGTGATGGATGCTTAAAGAGCAAACAAAAGGATTCAGATATTTCATTTTTTAAGTTACCGAGGGATAATGAAAGGTGAATTTTTTTTTTCGTTATATAGGTACTTTATAGTAAAAAAGAATTAAGTAATAATTTAACTACAAAAGTAATACCTAAGTACGTTATTACGAAACTTAATTTAAATTTACTTCACTATCCAAGTAGGTACTTACTTACATACCTATACTTGTCTTTTGTAATTAAAATATTTAAAGTTTTATACAATTGCAATCATTGCTAAACAAGCCGTTGTCCATTCTTATACACTTTTTTAACATAACAATGTGTGTCTTTTTCATCAAAAGTCCACTGCAGAACGTAGACCTCCCGCATAGGTTGTGTGTCTTTCACATATATCTAAATAGATAGTTATTTATTTTTTTGTGATATCAATTGCCATATACCTCATTCCCAATAAAAGAAGCCTTGTGCATGGCCGTGTCGCCATTGTCGTTCACCTCGTCTACATTTACGCCGGCATCTAGCAACACCTCCACAACGTCCTTGTGCGCGAAATACGTCGCCAAATGCAGCGGTGTCCATCCTAAGTTACTTTTGCTTTTACCTAAAACAACAGTTTTTAAAAAATGTCTGAATATTTTAAAGACCATTGTCTGTAACGAGCTAGATGATAAGCAAAGGCTTTAATTTATACTTTCTTTCGTAAAATAAGCCAACTATACAAAAAAAACAGAATAAGGGTGACACAAACGAGCCCGCAGTCCATCTGATGGTAAGTGTATGCCGTGGTCCATATAAATCTACCTTAATTAAGAATCAAAATACAACTGAGTAAAAAATATTTAAAAGGTAAAGATACAGCCTTATATATAGCACACATATATCATCATCATCCTTTCAGCTCATCACTAGTCTACTGCTTGAACATAGGCCTCCCCTAACGAAAACCACAAAGCACGATCCTGAGCCACCTGCATCCATCCTGCATCTCGTACCAGGATGTTACTCCATCTAATGCAGTGATTCCCAACAAGTGGTCCACAAAAAACTTAAATATGGTCCGCGAAGGATTTAAATATTTCATCTACCTAATTGTTATAAAAAATAACACATTTTTTTATTTTCTCGTCACGCGGGCAGTAGAACACCGCGCGTCACGTTAGTAAGTACCTATTAGCTTTTACAATAAATACACAATGTTAATGAATGCTTCTTTTCAGTTTATTATATAACTAGCTGTTCCCCGCGACTTCGCCCGCACGTAATTTATTACGATTGAATTTCATTGGTTGTAATTTCTTGCGCGTAACCCTTGTTCTTTTCTAAAATAAATGCAGCCTAAGTTACTTTTTATAACATCAGCTATCTGCCAAAGTCCGGCCAAAATAGGTCCAGCCTTTTCGGAGATTAAGCGGGGAATTCACTTGACGGACATGCCCGCGGGCATGTCTATTCGGGCATATCTGTCGCCGCGATACACTACACAGACTCATCAGTTTGTTTTATGTCTGTGCCCGCGCAGACAAAATGGGAACGCGCGGACGTTCAACAGACAAGTCTGCCAAACCGACTGTGATGCTCCTACACTACCAAACTTTGCACAGACCTATAGTAGCGACGTCTGGCAGGCATTTCTGTAAGCCATCACTACCATCTCTGCACAGGGAGGACGACTCACTGGCCCACGCCGCAAAAGAGAAAGCCGACCTTTTAGCTTTTAGGCTCCTTTTTACGTCCAACTCGACTGTTGATGACGGGAGGAACACACCGCCGACCATCCCGCGGTGTGAGTGCTCTATGCCGGATGTGCGGTTCTCACAGCGCTCGGTTCGCAGAGCACTCCTCTCCCTGGACATCTACAAGTCAAGTGGGCTTGACGGAATCCCTCCAATTGTGCTGAGGACGTGTGCTCCGGAGTTGGCACCGGTTCTAACGCGTCTTTTCCGGTACTCCTACTCCCTAGGCGTAGTCCCGAAATCATGGAAGATAGCTTTTGTCCACCCGATCCCTAAAAAAAGGCGACCGCTCAGACCCGTCCAACTACAGGCCTATCGCCATCATCCCCTTGTTCTCCAAAATAATGGAATCTGTTATAAACTGCCACCTCATGCGGTACCTTGAGGATCACCAGCTGATTAGTGACCGTCAATACGGCTTTCGTCGGGGTCGATCAGCTGGTGATCTTCTGGTCTACTTAACTCATAGATTGGCGGAGGCAGTAGAGTCCAAGGAGGAGGCATTGGCCGTTAGTTTGGACATTGCGAAGGCCTTCGATCGGGTTTGGCACAAAGCGCATCTTTCGAAGTTCCCATCCTATGGGCTTTCCGAGAAATTGTGCAATTGGATCACCAGCTTTCTTACAGATCGGAGCATCAAGGTCGTTGTAGACGGTGCATGCTCCGACTACAAGCCTATTAACGCTGGTGTTCCACAAGGCTGCGTGCTATCACCAACGCTGCATTCTTCTGCATATTTGTGCGGGACAAGTGAAAACAAATAGTGATAGGATAATACATAATTTTATTCTCCACCAACCCAGCAAACAATTGTACCTGTAGGGCACAATATCAATGATATGTTGCAAACCGGTAGCATTCATTGCTATGCGGATGACAGCACTGGTGATGCTCTATACACCGGCCGTGCCAATATTTCTCGGGAAAATGTCGCCGAGTACCGGAACAAACTTGTGTCTGAAGTCGAGTCTTTGCTAGACAGTCTCGGATTGGGGGCGACTAAATCTAGTCCAGTTTAATCCTCAGAAGACACAAGTTTGCGCGTTTACCGCTAAAAAGAACCCCTTTGTCGTATCTCCTCAGTTTGAAGGTACTCCCCCTGTTGCCTCAGCCAGTATCGGAATCCTTGGCGTCGAAATATCGAATAATGTGCAGTTTCGTGGTCACTTGGAAGAGAAGGCCAAATTGGCCTCTAAAAAGCTTGGCGTGCTCAGCAGAGCGGGACAGTATTTCATGCCGGCACAACGCCTGCAACTTTACAAGGCGCAGGTTCGGCCTCACATGGAATACTGTTCCCATCTCTGGGCTGGGGCTCCCTAGTGCCAGCTCCTTCCACTTGTCCGAATCCAGCGCAGAGCTGCTCGAATCGTCGACGACCGAGTCCTTTCCAATCGGCTCGACTCATTGGCGCTGGGAAGAGATGTTGCATCCCTTTGCATTTTCTTTCGCATTTACCACGGGGAGTGCTCTGAGGAATTGTTCGGATTAATCCCAGCCGCCAAATTTCACGAACGCACATCGCGGCAGAACTCCCGATACCATCCACACCATCTGGATGATTGGCGGTCCACCACTGTGCGATTTAGAAGATGTTTTCTTCCTCGCACGACTTCCTTGTGGAATCGATTATCACCAGCGATTTTTACCGCTGGACCGATACGACTTAGCGACCTTCAAGAAAAGAGCCTACTCCTTTTTAAAAGGCCGGCAACGCATCTGCAATACCCCTGGTGTTGCGGTTGTTCATGGGCGGCGGTAGTCACTTACCATCAGGTGAGCCGCATGCTCGTTTGCCCCCTCTCTTATAAAAAAAAATGTCTACAGACATACCCGCGGGCATGTCCGTCAAGTGAATTTCCCGCTTTAGCCGAAACAAACAGACAGACAGACAGACAAAAATTTTAAAAGTCATGTTTTTGTTATAAGTACCGTATACTTTCATATTCGTATAGTAAGAAGCTGTTATTTCGACATTTAAACTTTATTTATTTGTATAGATTTGTATAGATTATGTTAAAAGTTGTGATTATAATTGTTAGATTAACACATTTATTTCTTTCACATAGTGGTCCCTGCAAACTACAAAAAAAAATCAGTAGTCCCTGGTCAAAAAAAGGTTGGGAAACCCTGATCTAGTGTGAGCAACTCTAAGGTTCGCTTACAGGTACACTTTTTTCTACTCAGTTCTGTTCTACGAGCTGTACGGCCAGCCTATTGCCACTTTAGTTTATTGAACAGTTGGGCTATATTTGTTCTTCTGGTACTACTTTTACCCCTTATTACGAAGTCTTTCACGCAGATAATTTTTGAGCATAGCCACAATGCACGCCACATAGTCACAACACTCGCTAAAGCTCGCTAAACGACCTTGCACTTCCTTATATGACCAAGAGTGATGACCACATCTCAGATCACGCACCGCTGAAGGGAGTGTAGGACCGCCCAAATTTCAATTGAGACAAAGGCTTTCTCGTAGTACATATAGTCAAGACAAAGTGGCAGAATGTACTCTTCGGTCATCTGGGCAATTAGCCGGGTGTGTATGCGGTCTATGGTGCTAAAGTCTTTTCGGAAACCGGTTTGTTCGAATGTCTGGTCTGGAAGTCGCCAATTCTGCATGCGAGACGATTCACAATGACCCTAGAAAACAGCATGTAAACGCGGCTCCGAATGAAAATCAGTTAGTAGTTCTTCAATGGAGCATTGTTGCGTTTCTTGACGATACCACTAAGATAGTACCATCGTGGAGTAAGTATACTTAGTCAGGTCATAAGTTCTGTCAAAAACTTTTTATAAAATTAATGACACACTTTTTTATAATTATATAGAATTGAAATATGAAATGAAAGGTAATTTAGAAAACAATTTATTTCCACTATTCAAAATGCTCTCCCCTATTTTGAATACATGCCCTTAATCGACGCGGCCAATCATCAATTGCAGCACGCGCCACATTCATATCTATTTCTGCCGCTGCTTTAGCCAAAGATGCTCGGAGAGATTCCAAATTCTGATGAGGTTTATCGCAGACTTTCTCCTCCAAATTTTGCCATATCTTGTAATCCAGTGGGTTTAAATCTGGACTAGAAGAGGACCAGTCTTCAAGTGCGATAAAGTCAATTCCACGGACGGTCAACCATTTTGCGTGCTTCGTGCCCTATGAGCTGGTGCAGAGTCCTGTTGGAATATCCAATGTCTGTTTTTAACATTGTTTGAGAAAGAGGTTCCACTATGTTTGTTAGGACGGTATTTTGGTACGCCTCGGCACTGGTTTTTACACTTTTTCACAGAAAAACACCTCAGTTAAGCCTGAATATGAGACTCAAAGCCAAACCATGAGTGACGAAGGATAATGTCCTCGTTGAACCGTCGGAATACGCGTGCTGACTTCTTCACTGCTGTGGGCATACACCTTATCATTTTGTTTATTGTAACTTTCTTCGATGTTAAAAATTTTTTCACCCGAAAACAAAATGCGCGATATTTTTTCCCGCGTACCGCCGTAATAAAGCGCAGGATCTATCCAGCCTAATTTTTTTCCACTCGTTCAAAAAATGTCCGGTCTTCTTACGATAAGCTCGTAGTCCTAGGTTTTCATTGATCACTCTTTTGACCGTGGTTCTGCTTAGGTCCATCTGAAGAGCTAAGATTTTTTGTTTACGAACAGGATTTCGTTGGATTCGCGTCTTCACTGCTTTGATGATCGCGGGTGTCCTAACTGTACGAGGTTGGCCGGTCCTCTTACGATCTTCGAAGCTTGAATCTTCAGTGAATCGTTTGATAGTGCGATAAACAAATCGTAGGGTTATTTTCAATTTTTGTAGAATATTGAAAATCTCTTTTGGCGCGTAACCACAGCGGTGCAACG